CCTCAAGGCTCACCCCAAGACTCTCCAGGACTGCGTCTGTTCTGGTGTACTCGCCAAGACAAACTAAAAACTCTTTATTCATTTTCAAAACTCTAACGAATTACAAAGCAGTAAAAAGACTCTAAGGCGTAACCTTCAATCATAAAGCCAATCACACTAAGTACTGCAATTGTCATATCTTTTGATTAATCGTTCACTACATTAATAACTACGAATACTAAATGTCAGAAATAGTAGTCCGAATAGCGACGGTTATCTCGAGTTCCGTCCAGAACATCACGTGGTCTAAACGATGCCAGACATAACACAGCCATTCAGCTAATTAAGTCGATTAACTGATACGCAAAAACAAATTCATCACACATCCCTTCACTCAAACTGAGCCATGCCTCCTGGAATAACACGTTCATAAATCACCACCTCTAATTCCAAAAAGAAACGCTGCAAAGGTGCTCTTCCGAAACAACACGTAAACAAAAACAACTCTTAAAACATTGATATCTCTGTACTCGACAAATCTCAAAACTCTGAAAAACCCTTTGGGGCATTACTCTCCCCATCATATTCCGTACTCATAAACTCATTAAAACACCATAAAACTTCACAAAACTCATAACACTGTGTTGCAAATACTTGTCCACTGAGGCGCGCTTAAATCGTTATAAAGGACCTCGCACGTCACTAAATATCAGTTCAAAAAAAGATCTGGGCGCTTACATACATACAATTCGACACCACAAAAAAAACGGTAAAAACGATAGGAAAAGCAAGCAATACATTACTGTGGTAACCGAATGTTTGCCTGACCACCACCTTTATGATCCACACAGGAAAATGGCAATTAACACGTTAAACTCAGTTTTATTCTGTGGAACTGCAAACTACAACTTGGCAAGCTTTGCCGCCATTACAAACTCAAAAGTGGTCATTTGACCACTAGCAAAAGAACATCTAGCGTACTAAATATAGATACGAAGTTATCACATCCCTTCCCCCTAAAACACGAATAAACTCAGAATTACAAGTTCAACTTATCTGGACAATGCGTCCAGACCTAGTAGTAATAACACCTGGGCTAGAAATCTTTGGTTTAACTGTATCTTTAGGAGTGGTATCTGGAGGAGTCTGAATAATTGAGTGATCTGGGCAAGGATTACAATCAGTAATGTTACTAGGACTTGTATCAAGAACAACACTGGGATTTAAGTCCTCGTTAGAAACTGGAACACTTAATGAAGGAGTAACTTGTTTACTAACAATTGGAATCTATGGTAACTCCTCATTTACCCTAGTCTCACTAACAGTACTATCAAATTTCCTAATTCGAATCTGGTCTACATGTCTTCTAACAATTCTATCATCGACTGA